AAAGAATTATTGATAATTTATTATCTCTAAGTTAATATTATTTTAAGTTTGTAGTAAATATTAATACTATTATTTTAAAATTCAATTTAAATAACACATACTGCAAATTATACATCATAAAAGTTACCAATCAGTTGTATTGATAAAGGGTCCGACTGGTAGCATGTGGTATTATAGTCGAGTTGTAGTAGACGTTATAATTTGATGTAACTTGCAGTAAAAAAAATATGTGGTAGAAACTGCAGAAATACGTAGTGAGTTTGCTGTAGAAATACGAATTAACATTTTAATCAATACAGCTGACTGGTGAATTTTATGATGTATAAGTTGCAGTATGTATTATTAAGCACAAATTCAATTTTAAATACTTATAAATAATTAACATTTGTTACAAATTTATAAATAGAAAGACTAATTAAAATGATACTAACTTAAATATAAAACCAAACTTTTTGTAACATTAATATCTAATATTAAAAAACAAATATGCTCACTTAAACATAAACTAAAACACAAATTGTATGACATTAAATAAAAAACTAACAACATACTTGTTTAAAGTTTTTCAAACAAAAATATAAAATAAAATCAATAATTACGACAATATAAACAAAATGTTTGAATCAAAAATCTTTAAACAAATTGATAGAACATTGTTAATTAAAAATTAAATACAATATTTTGTTGGAATTATTATTTTGTGTACAATAATAAAATAACTAAAATTGGAATTAGTAAAAAAGAAAAAGAAAAAGAGGTCACGTTAAATACAAAAAAGCAACAAAAACACTTAACTCAACATCTAACTCATCCCATTTTTCTTGATGTTGGATTAACTTTTGAATTAGCAATTTAACAAAGAACATAACTCAAAATGGTGAATCAACCATAATTCATGATAACTCAAACTCAAATTCTTAAATTTTAGTTTGATTCATGATTGGTAACATTTTTGAGTTATCAATGAATTAGACCCTTAACTCAAACTAAATCAATACCAACTCATGCTACCAATCAAAGCCAAAATGTTAACTCATATTTTTACAGCAAACTCACCACATAAATCTGCAGTTTCTACCACATACTTTTTACTACAAAATACATCGAATTACAATTCTTACTGCAACTCAACTTTGATAAATGATACCAGTCGGAGCCTCTATCTAGTTTCCTTTTAAATCAAATTCAGCATCATGTATTAGTCTATTAGTG